AGGCAAATTTCATAATTAGCGTTGCATGGTCTTCGGCGGCTACTGTAGTTATTCCGATCGAGCTAAAGGAGGATACATTTTATTCACGCACTCTCCGCAATCAAAACAAAAAAATGAAGACTTGCGACCACTTGCGACGGTTTTTTCTCGTTGTTCTACTTGCGGACACCGACCATGAATGACAGGAAATATGACAAGTCACGTGGTTTGCCTACCAAAGAGATTCCATGCTTTTTAAATGTGTTTTTGTACTTAATTGAAAAAACTCTACGGGAAGAATAACAAGTTTTCGGGAGAGATTACAAAGCAAAAGTTAGATTGCCGAAGTGGGAATCAAAGACCATTACCAAATATTTGCACTGAACCGAAAAAATTGACAATCAAAACAAAAGTTGGAAAAATGGAATAAGTATGCGGTTAATACGCTCCACAAATGCGTAATGGAAATAAGTCAAGAAACAAATATTGGTTAGGAATTCTTTTAGCCATTTAAACCACAGTTCAGTCGTGTGCACCGAGTGTATCGACTATGTATTTTACTTTTGGGGGCAAGGAAATCGAAACTCGCGCATGAGTTACTTTATGATTGGCATGGGCTTGTACAGAATCTACCACACTCTATCCTACTCCAAACACGGTGTTCTTTGGCAGAGACTAAGCCAAAAGACCGGGAAGCATGATGGGACGCAGTGAGTGATAAAGACAGACAATATATATTTCCGATAGAAGCAAAGGTGCGAGTTCTCGGGCATAAATGAGAAGAAAGAGCGATCTTGGGAACAATAATTGTAATTTTCCTGAAGTTTCTAAAACAGACAAGTTTTCGTTGTCGAAGGTTAGTGTTATACCGCGCCTCACAGTACTTCTAGGAATGTGACAATCAGAGTTCATGAAGGTTGTGAATTTTACGGAAGCGGGGGACGGTTGTGGCGGTTATGGCCCATCAGTCATCAATGGGCACGATGATTGATTGGCCCTAACCGCCACAACCCCCCACTCCCGTAAAATGCACAACCCTCACAAACCCTGTTTGTCACATACCTAGAAGTACCGTGAGGCGCGATACATCTCTTACATCCGACGACGGAATCTTATCTGTTTTTGAAACGTC